CTATGACAAAACCGCGTATTGACCTTATGAATTAGTTCTTATTGATAGTCAAGACGCGGGTTGGACTAATAAACTAAAAATCGAATTCTGACAGTAGTAAGTGTAAATTACGATATAGTCATATTCACTGATGGACTTTACCATAATTTGACATTGTGTCTTGCAAACTAAATAATTAACAGTGAATTTAGTAATGTTGTCTTCGCAACTGAATAGTTTGAATCTATATAATTTAAAAGTGGAAAGACTTTTTGTTTGAGTAGTTTTCGAAATTGTATGTCTAAATATTGTTTTTTTCTTTTTTGGCTTCATATCGTGCACTTCAATTTTAAAACTATAGGTCAAAATATTGCCCACTTTTTTATTTCTTGAAAACATTTACTATTGGAAAATCTGCTTAAAAATGCAAATATGTTCATATAAATTGGACATGTTTATGTTGTTCAATATTTAATTTATAGAATTAATTTTAATATTAACACGATATTTATTTTTAGAAATAACTTATTTTTATAGAATTATTTTTAATATTTCTTTCACACATTGTAACAATAATAAAATTATTTGTTATCCTGTCCATCGCACATACTAGTTAACTAATGAACATCAATCTTGAATATATTTCGATATGAACTGTGAAATGGTAACAGATAAAAAAAAGCAATAAATTCGGTTCATTTGTCCAGTCTATCCAAGAAAAAGGTTCAATATTCTATATTGATTGCGTGGGGCGGGGAAAAAATGGAAAATTATATCATTTTATCTCTGCATGTAAAAATTGTTTTCGACCAGTTTCAGCTTAAGTTTCGTTTTTTCATAAATGACGTGTTAGTTAATCTACGTCCGTAGAAAACAAAGGTCAGAAATTAAAATATATATATATTTATATATTTGTATTAAAACTATTTTATAGTGGATAAGTACGTAACTAATTGTAATATGATAAAAAGTGAATTATTACAACTCAAAATTAGTTGAATTGGAGAGAGAGCCCTGATTGGACGGACGCTTGCCATGTCACAGGCACTGATTGTGGTAAGTCATAAAGAATTCACAGATATTGGTCAATGTATAATTGATCCTATTAATGTGTATACTTTTTGTTAGATCCTATCATCATAAATTTATGAGCACAAAATATTCAACATACTAGTACTCATCCCGTGCATTTGCATGGAAGAAAATACTTAAAAACGAAAATAATATAAAAAGAAAAAACAAAAATACATAATCATAATTTAATTCATGAAAAAGTATATGAATTAAGAAAATAATTTTAAATATTATTAAATGCTTCTTTATATACAACATTCATGGTTTTCATATCGTCGGTATCACCATCACCACATATCATTATATCCTCAAACTCTTCCGTTTCGTGACTCTAGAAAGAATAACGTACAACTGGCCATGACTGAAAACAGGATTCGTCAAGACTAAGCCGACTGTGAGAGAGACTGGTCTTGACTCTTGTTGATCATCATAACATATGAGACCATGATAGGAAATGGTCCCCAATGAAACTTGAATGGTACCTTTAAACAAATAAGTTGTTGAATTGGGTTGGATAACATATTTAAAAAAAATGTTGTTAATTGAGCTTAATTTTATATAAAAAAAATTTGTAAAGGTGACTTTGACCTATAGTCTCAGTGAGACTATTTGTTTAATGGCCCCGATTTGGTAGTCCCAAAAAAAATATATTTTCAAATTGAACCCAATACACATTTTTTTAACAAAAAAAAGAATCAGGTAATCGGAAAGAACGGTTACCAAAAAAAGGGTTACAAAACTGATGTAGGAAAGCGTACGAGTGGGAAAGGTAAACGAGATACTCTCTCCATAAATCTCACAATCAATTCATATTCTTATTCAATAATCAACTGAATAACACAAATGAGGAGGAACCCTTTAAATAAGGCTCCTAAATATTAAATAAGGCTCCAACAAGACAAGAATCCTAACAAAATATTAAATAATATTAAATTCCTAACTTATTTCTCAAGATACCTAATAATAATAATAATAATAATAATAATAATAATAATAATAATAATAATAATAATCTACACTAAAAACTCTCAACTTAAATAATCCGAACACTCCATGATTCAAACTCATTTCTCTTGTTATCGGTGGATCACTTCATTTTTCTCTCTGTCAAATATATCCAATATCTCATTTTTCTTATCAATATTTACGATAATCATGCTCTTTTCTTTGTTTTTTTGGGCGAGATATTCCGATCAAATTCTAAAATTTTTCGAAAAATCAAAAATTTCAAATAAAACAGTGATACAACATAAAAATCATTCTGATTTTACAATTCCATTTTACTAAATCATAGTAAAACCGTCCAAATCGGGCGATTACATAATAGATTTATCAAGAACTGATTTTTTTTTTAATTTTGATTTAAGGTTGTCGTTCCTATTTAGCTAAAATGCTTTAATGAATCATAAGAAAATGGTTCAATCGGTCGATTATATTACGAACCTATCAAGATCTGTAACTTGTTTATGATTTTTATATTTTTTTTGTAAAACCATGTTTTCAGTTAATTT